TCTCCTCAACCACCCCTCTCCGAAAGCTTCCTGTACCTAAAGTGGTACGGTGAATTTGCGCATTTGGTGTGGCTTCGAAGGGTGGTTCCGCCCTAAGCCATCAGATGTCATCATAAGGTGACACGCACACACACACACACACACACACACACACACACACACACACACACACACACACACACACACACACACACACACACACACACACACACACACACACACACACACACACACACACACACACACACACACACACACACACACACACACACACACACACACACGTGAATGGTGATGAGTGAGACGAAGCTCCGGAAGGAATAATCGGTCTACTGTGCAATTCGCCCCCCCCCCCCCCAATCCGTCTGCGCGCCAACAAAGAACGGGTTTTATCACACCACGCCTCATATTGTACGATTGTTTTCCACCAATTACATGCGCCATATGTCACATCCTTCCTATTTACGCCTCGCATCTTTCATCGTAAACTACAAGTACCGCCATCTATAGTTTCCCGCGTCTTTTCATCAACTGCAAGTACCGCCATTTGGTGAACACTCGAAAAACCAAACTAGAGGTGCCTACCTACTTCCACTACATACATCGGGAACGACCAACCCACGCCTTAAGAAGCTTCGCCCCTTAAAACACACACACACATCACAAAGACCAATATTGTAACTACCAGCACGTTGTCTGTTTAGAACAAATGTTCAACGATTGTTAGCATGATGCATTCTACCTCGGAAAAGACTTGAGCTGTCCCGGACCAAGTGTGTTTAGAAGAAATGTACGGCGATTTAGTGTGTACGATGTGCTCTACTATGGAAGAGCAATATGCTGTCTAAACGAAGCAGTGTGCTTAAAAAAAAGTCGTTAACGATTTAGATTACTCGGCACTCTACTATGGTAGAGCCGAAAGCCGTCCCTTCGGCCTCACACTTGATGAGGCCGCACTCTAGAGTACCACCGCACCGCCCCAAAAATGCCCCCACCTCGTCGATGGGAATAGTGAGGAAATGCGAAAGCATTGCGTAGCGTCCATAACGGCGTGTCGCACGTGAGCACCTAGCTGAGAAGAACAATGTTTTCTTCTTTTTTTTTAACGTAGACCGTGCAGCCAATAGCGCCGTTCGCCGCACGTGGCGTTTTTTGTCGCGAGAAACGCGGTATGCGTTTCCACGGTTAAAAAAAATTGCCCGCAGCTTCCCTCGGGGGAACACTGAGGAGGATGCGGACCATATAATTGGTTAACGGGGTGTTAAAGTGCGACTTACTTGGGTCGATGGCTAAATTGGTTAACGTGGTTGTGAAATGGGGTGTTAAATTGCGACTTACTTGGGTCGATGGCTAAATTGGTTAACGTGGTTGTAGGAGGGGGTGTTAAATGAGTGAACACGTACACACGTATGCGAAAGGGCGGCGCTGGTCGAAAGGACGTCGATCATTGTGTTTGTGGATTCGTTGGAATTCATTTCACCGCGACCTTGGACGTCGACGCGCCGTACAAACCAACCGACGAGCGGCAACTGAGCGAGCGAGCGCCGACTATATACAGCACGACGGCGCATGCACTGTCAGCTGTTGAATGTTCTCGAAGCGCGACGCCACATGCGCGTCCACTGGAGAATCAGGAGAATTGTAGATGTCGAACGCGGTGTGTAGAGGAGGAAGGGTGCACAGATGGTGGAGGAGTGAAGCGCGCGCGGTGTGTAGAGGAGGAAGGGATGCACAGGTGGTGGAAGAGTGGGCGACGGCGCGACGGCGCATGCGCGCGCGTCAGCTGTCGAATGTTCGAGAAGCGGTGCGGACGGCGCGGACGGCGCGGACGGCGCACTACAAGGCGCGAGTATAAGATGCTCCGCATCTAATCAGCGCGCGCGCCCGCAGCTGCTGGTATAAAAGCGGGTGGTGGACGGATCTTGACGGACGCCTGACATAGCCCGACTAGGGAGGGGGGGGGGGAGATTGATTTTTAAATGTGAGAAAAAATAAACTACAAAAGTGAGCCCCGTAACTGTCTGCATCAAGTGAGTGTATGATATGTGGGGTTTTGACGTCCCAAAACCACCATATGATTATGAGAGACGCCGTAGTGGAGGGCTCCGGAAATTTCGACCACCTGGGGTTCTTTAACGTGCACCCAAATCTGAGCACACGGGCCTACAACATTTCCGCCTCCATCGGAAATGCAGCCGCCGCAGCCGGGATTCGAACCCGCGACGTGCGGGTCAGCAGCTGAGTACCTTAGCCACTAGACCACATCTAGTGAGTGTGACACATCTATAGTGGCTCACGAGGGAAGGGGATAAGGAGGGATTAAGGATAGGGTGAGAAGTAAAGATAAAGACGGGGACACGGTCGAAGGAGCACGAGGTACAACTCGGCGAGAGGTTCACGATGTCAGGAGATGGCGGAGGGTGAGCTGGTCGGCCGGAGCTGCACTGTCGTCGGAGGTCGCGGGGGCACAACCATTCGGCACGGAATCCAGCGAGCGAGTCGCATAGCCCGACTATAAAATCCATCTGCATTTAAAACATACAGATTTGGTTGCCAGCACGGCTGCTGCAGACCTACAATTAAATATGTCTAATGACAGGCTGCGTCCATATGGCTGGTGCGGACGCGCAACTAAATTTATATATTGCCTGAAAAACTAGCACGCAGTTGCTATGTGTTTGTAAAAAGTGCTTAACGATTCCGAATACTCGGTATTCTACTGTGGGAGAGCTGAACCAACACCACCTAGACTAAACAGTCTAGGTGGTGTTCGCTGAACGCCGTCTTTCTGGCGCGTGTTTAGAGAAAGTTAACGATTTAGAGTACGAGGTACTCTCCTATGGGAGAGCAGAAAGCCGTCCCTTGGGCAGGAAAGCAAGTCAATGACTGCTCTTGTATTGAGGCTGCACTCTTGAATATTACGTTCATTCCTCATTTCGAGAAACCACCGTTATGTCCACAGTTTTAAGCGAGACATGCGGAAAATTGTACGTATATTATGTAAGAACCAACATAATAAAAAGCAAACTCGTGATGAAATGTTTACACACAGAATACGTCTTTTAGTTGACTATGCAGATAGCTTGCGTTTTTTTTTTAGATACAGGTAACAAGCGGCGTCAAGGTCTCTTTTGAACCACTTCTACTCTCCTCCGGATAATTTTGGCATACGTGGTAAATACAAACAGCTCTTCTTGTGCTTTTATAATCAGGCCTTTTGAACCCCCTACCCCCCACATTCGAGAAAAAAAGACATCTAAATAGACGTATACTTGCATTACAACCTTATTTCCGTCGTGGTTTGTTTGCTGTCACGAATACCTCTCTTTGTGTTGTTTCACCCATTTTCTAAGCGCAGGATAGCGAACTGGGTGTGTGCATAGTCAACCTGCTTGTCTTTTCTTGCTTCCTGATTCTTTGCTTTGCAGATTGCATATTACCAAGGAGGTTCAAAAAAAAAAAAAAGATGCTGGAGCGGAAGCTCCCGCAACGCATTGCCAGCGTTAGGGAAGCCAGGTTTTGCCCTCCAAAGATCTCAGAAAGATGTTTTTTTCTGGTGGTGCCCATTTAGGCATGAAGTGGATTTGACCTATTAGTTTAAAGGCTACGTTAATCATAATTTAAAAGATAGTTGTTTCGGATTAACTAGCCTCAGGAGACGAGTATTGCTGACTTAATCTCGAATAAAATTTGCCTTGAAATCGTGGATTACTTAAGAGATCTAGTAAAAAAAGCACGCACTTAGAACACAGAACACTTTCTAGTTAAAAAGTGTTGCCACGTTAAACTGGCTCGGCGTGCAAGAAAAACACTCCTTCTTAATCGCCGAACGCCAACAGCTCATCGTGCCCCTAGTAAGATGGCTGCCGCCGCCATCTTACGGTGGGTACGGCTTCACTTATGGGGATTAATTTTCACTCCAGCAATTTTTCTAAAACCTTCTTGCGTATTACCGCGGCTATATGCTACATCGGGTGTTTTTCAAACTCATCTCAGCTAGCTGACCACTGTCCCGGAACTTAGTCCAACAGGGACAAGGGCCGTGACGAAAGTTGAAGTGGAAAGGGGGGGGGGCGCTGGAAGGGGAGGACTTGAACAAAATGTTACCTGACATTTCCACTTGAAAGAATGCCTTTCTCATACCAGCAGGAGATGGGACGTAGGTTTAGAGAAAGACATCGCCCCCCCCCCCCCCCCCCCCCCCGTATTCATAAACGCTCCTTGACTTGACTTGCAGCCGCCTTCAATGCAGCACGTTTGAAACGTGTCTGCATATGTGCTGCCTTGGCACCAAGGAGGTAAAAAAAATTGCTGGTGTAGAAATCATTGCTTAGGACTGAAGCCGTGCCTATGGCAAGATGGCGGCTGCGGCGGGCCATCTTACTAGGAGAAATGGTAAAGTATTACCATTGAGCGTTTAAGAACGGAGCCTTTGAAATAGCGCGTTCTAAACGTGTTTGTGCTGCATTGAAGTCGGCGGCAAGTCAAGTTCAAGTCAAGTTCAAGTCAAGCAGCGTTTCTTTATTACGGGGGGGGGGGGTAAAATTCTGAAGTAAGGCTTTTTGTTCTACGGTAATGTTTCGACTAGGTCGGGACCATTTCGTCTGCCTCAGAAAAATAAAAACACTTGAGACTTGTCCCGTATCCATAGTTCTTCCTAAAAAAGCGTAGGGAAGAAAATAATGCGAATACCATTTAGCAATTCCACGAAAGTTTATTGTAGCGGGCCACTCCCGAAATATTCGTGGGCTGTAAGTTTTAGACCCCTGCTCTATCTATATATTTGTAAAAAAAAGAAGTAAAAAAAAAACAAGAAGCCAAAAGAGTACTCGATCAAAGACGCAATATACGCTCGAAGATCAGCACTGTCAAAACGACTTTCGTAGCGACACCTAAGACAAAATAGCCCAAAAGTGATAAAGTTTGCTGCTTGGGTTTGATCCCTCGTGAAAAACCACCTACTTGAACAAGAAGAACGATGGATTAACTTGCATGTTTTCTGACAAAACACTATACTGACACTTCGCGAGACTTACAAACGCTGCGATTTGGTGAAAGAGGCAGCCTCCAAATATCTGAACTATTGTCCCTACAGGTGTGTTTATTCACACTCTTGAATTTAGTAAACCTTATGGTACACTTGTTTGTTGCACACTTCGAACAAATCTGCAATGTGAGGTTCTACTGCGTGTTTAAATGCTTCGTGCAGGATATACATAGCTGTAGCACTATAAGTACTGTTATATGCACAAAGAACTCGGATCGAAGCCAGCCCGAAAGCAATCTTCGAGTTACAGGTAAATGGCTTACTCGAGATTAAAAGAGTCGGGATGTTATGTCTGAATTAGCCTGGCATGCATGAAAGCAAATGTTAATTGCACTCATTGTTGGCAGAACGAGCTTATTGGTCGAGGACATCAAACGCTCGCTTCGACTCCTCCATCACCGCATTGTCAGAGTCGGAGCAGTGGACTTCCCTTATGCTGCCGTAGAAGGGTCGGAAGAGGCATCCGGTGGGCCACACCTCCGCTTTCAGGAGGCTCTCGAAATCGGGCTCGTCCACGGCCACGTGAAAAGAGGCGTAGGTGTCGTGCTTTGACGGCAACTTGGTGCACGCGCACGGGGCGCCCGCCGTCACGCCGTCGACGAAATCGGCGACGCTCTTGGACGTCGTCAACGGGTGCAGACGGGACAGGAACAGCGCCCGGCGAGCGACACGCCTGGGCGCTGCCGACAGAAGCCCGCTGTTGGGGCACGTTCCCACGCAAGACTGCGACCTGCTGCGACGTCGAGCTACTGGAAGACCTCGGGGTTTCTTACAGGAGGGAGCGTTGTTCTTCGCGGCAGAAGATGTGGAAGAGCTACGTGGAGGCGGAGCCCGTTTTAAGGCGGTAGATACGCGGCCGTCTTCCAGTTCTTTCGAAGTCTGCGTTGCGATGCTCCGCTTCGACTCGAGCTCTTTGGTGGGCGAAGCAAGCGTCTCGATAACCGTTCCTCCGGCGCCATGACGGGCGTCGCCTCTCAAAGCGGCCGCGTAGCTTTTCGGGCTCGCAGTCGTCGCTGCGCACGGAAGTGGAGGAGCGGGACGCTTTTCCTCCAAGCCGAGCGCGATCTTACCTAAAACCTCCGTGGTTCTGGCCAGGTGCAACCGAAATAGCTCACTCTCGCTGTTGAGCAGTCGTACATTTCTCGCGAGGGCGTCCACATCCCGCCGAAGAAGGGCTACTTGCTGGAACAGTTCGCAGTCGTCGCCGGTGCAGGCGCCGTCTCTTTGCTCCACGCAGACCACACCCTTGTTGCCGCCTGGAGCGAGACGTTCCGCCACGCCTTTCCTGGCAAGCTGGCAACAAAGAACTTCGTTGCCGTCGTTCAAGGGACGCAGCTCCGAGGACGTCATGTCGATATTTTGACAGAGCAGACCACTCTTGCTTTGGGCAGTCGGGTTACGGTCTTGCGCGTCCCGTTCCACAAGTCGCCCGAGAAGAGACGCGTTGTCGTCTTTCAGCGAGCGCACGTCAGCGGCCACGGCGTCGACTTTGCGACAGAGAAGCCGTACCACTTGTATCAGGTCCGAGTCTCCGGCCGGCGGCGTGACTTCGGGCTGGCGGTGAGGTCCGCGGACCACAGCCGGCGGCGTGTCCACGGCTCCGCCCAGGACCGCGGTGCTCTCCGGGTCGTGACGTCTGGTGCAAGCGAAGCACTTGAACGTTCCGACGACCAAGTCGTGGTCCTCATCCTTGATGCCGACGCACTTGCAGTGGAACTGCCTCAGACACTTGCCGCACGCTACGACGAACGGCTGGCGCGCGGTGGGCGTGGAACAGGCTGCGCAAACGTCCTTGCTTCGCGGCATCGTTGCCGAGCCCGTCATGGATGCGTGCGCTGCGCATCGCTGCATGGGCGCAAAGCAGCCAGGTATGGGTGATATAAACGGCTCGGCAGTGCGAGCTTGCATCCGGTGTTGCGGGCTTATGGGTTATGCAAGACGAGTCGACCGTCGTCGACAGCGGCGTTTTTCCCCGGATGGCACGCGTTGCATGGGGCACGTGGTCTCCGCCATAGACAATTAAAGCAGCGGTTTACGGAGTCTCGATCGGTTTGCCCTTGACAGCGAGCGATACGCCGAAGTGGAGGCGACGTGTATAACGAAGGAGACAATACAGATAAAGAGGTAGGCGAACACATAGGCATACTGCGCGCAGGCCATGAGGCGACTGCGTGAATCTTATATTAGTATTGCGACCTTGTCAATGCCTTTCCTCGACTATGCCGTAGTATCACTTAGGTACAAGACAGTTAGCCAGTGTCACATAATATACTTCCTTAACTGTATAAATGTACCAATCTGAAGCACATTGTAAGGTATTACACAATCTTACAGACATGTAACATTTTATACAGTACAAAAAGTACCCGAATAATAATGATTGCTGGAATTTTGATGATGATGTTTGATGTTTTATGGCGCAAGGGCCGTTTCACGGCCAAAGAGCGCCAGTTCATCTTGCTAAAAAAAATGGACAATGATTGTGATAAGCGGCTGTATAAGGGCCATAAAATTCCTCGCGGTAAGGCGGGTAAAAACATACAAGTAATAAAATCATGACCATGCCGTGAAAGGTGTGTGTGGTGTGAATAGTTGACAAAAGTTGGTGATAATAAAAGACGATGGTGGATATGTATGGCATTAGCACAAGTGCCTCACTCGTTCATACCCTTGCGTCCAAGGGCCGTGAGGCAAGTGCTTTCTTGTGTAACCACCGCAGCAAAAACCTCTCTGGAGAGGTCATGCTACGGGATGCCTGGGTATATGATATGGAAACTATGAATTTCTTTAAAAAACGCTAACAATGATTTGTGACTAAAAAGCGGTTCCCTACCGACGAACATTGCAGGGTGTAAAGGTATATGTTGTCGGTAGGGTAATGGAAAGTGTTGTTCTCTTACAGTGTCCAATTGTTTGCACTCAATTAAAACGTGAAGGACTGTCAATGGTTCACCACATATGTCACACAATGGTGGATCGCCACCAGACAAAAGGTGTGTGTGTGTCATGTATGTGTGTCCTATCCTGAGTCTCGTTAGTATTACCTCTGTATGACGCGATTTCGATACGGGCAGCCAATGACCAAGGTGTGGCTTAATAACGTGTAGTTTGTTATGTGTATGTGTATCCCACTTACTCTGCCAGTATACTCTCAGGTTTCGTTTGAGAGACGGCTTAAGATCGAGGGCCGGGATTGATATAGGTGTAGGGGCAGTGTTTTTGTGGGCGGATGCAGCGAGCTGATCCGCCCTCACGTTGCCTTGAATCTCACGGTGCCCTGGCACCCAGCACACTACAACATGTTGTTTGAGTGTGTAGAGTGTGCACAAAATGGAGTAAAGTGAGATGAGGACCGGGTTTTTTTGTTTTTTAAGACTGTGCAGAGCCGTTACCACACTGAGGGAGTCTGTATAAATTACTGCTTTGTGTATGTGTAATTGTTTGATGTGTTTAGCTGCCACAAGTATCGCGTAAGCTTCCGCTGTGAAGATACTTGTGCCTGGATGTAGAGGGCCAGCATCCGAGAAGGATGGGCCGACAACAGCGTAGGACACAGAGGAGTTGGATTTGGAGGCATCTGTAAAGAACTCAGGACGTGTGTATTTCTGTTGAAGTTCCAGGAAGTATGTTTGGATATGGGCAATAGGCGCATGTTTTGTAACTTCAAGAAAGGACACATCACAGTCTATAGTCTGCCATTGCCACGGTGGCAGATATGCTACAGGAGCCATTAAACTATGTTCAAGTGAGACTCCAGTTTCCTCAGCTAGACTTTTCAGGCGAACTGAGAAGGGCTGCCTCATCGAAGGCCTGTTTTGAAACAGAATGGAGCTCGACAAATCATTAATAGTGGAGTATGAGGGGTGCTTCTTATCTACTTTCACCTTAAGGAAATAAACAAAGGACATGTAAGTTCTCTGCAGATGAAGCGACCACTCATTTGACTCAACATAAAGGCTTTCTACGGGGCTGGTGCGAAAAGCACCCGTAGAAAGGCGGATGCCCAAATGGTGCACGGGGACCAGCATCTTCAAAGCACTTTGAGTCGCAGACTGATAAACAATGGCCCCATAATCTAAGCGGGTGCGAATGAGGCTTCGATACAGAGTCATGAGACATTGCCTGTCACTACCCCACGTAGTACGTGACAACACTTTTAAAACATTCATGGCTTTTAAACATTTTGTTTTTATATACTTTATGTGTGGCACCAAGGTCAACTTGTTGTCCAAGATTAAGCCTAAGAATTTATGCTCGGCTTTGACGGACAGACGTTGCCCGTTCAGTCGAATGTCAGGTTCTGAGTGCATGCCTCTCTTTCGGGAGAACAAGACACACGTGCTCTTTTGTGGGTTCACTCGGAATCCGTTTTCCTCTGCCCATTTGGAGACCTTGTTTAAACCTAACTGAACCTGTCACTCGCACATTACCAGGTTGCAAGATCTAAAGCCAAGCTGGACGTCGTCGACATATGTACAATAAAACATATTGCGAGGGATGGACAAGTGCAAGGAATTCATCTTGATGAGAAAAAGTGTGCAGCTAAGTACACCACCTTGTGGCACGCCTGTTTCCTGGACGAATGTTTGGGAAAGAGCCGTGCCCAATCGGACACGAAATGTCCGGTTTGACAGGTAACTTTCGATTATGTGAAACATTCTTCCGCGCACGCCAAGGTGGGACAGGTCTCTTAGAATTCCGAAACGCCATGTAGTATCATAAGCCTTTTCGATATCGAGGAACACAGAGAGAAAATATTGTTTATGAACGAAGGCGTCCCTGATCTGTGCCTCGATACGAACAAGGTGGTCTGTGGTGGATCTACTTTCTCGAAACCCGCACTGAAATGGGTCGAGCAAATTGTTTGTTTCAAGGAAATGTACAAGTCTGCAGTTTATCATTTTTTCGAAGATTTTGCACAAGCAGCTTGTGAGTGCAATAGGCCTATAACTCGAAGGTAAAGAAGGGTCCTTGCCCTCTTTCAAAATGGGAATTATAATAGCCTCTTTCCAGGAGTTAGGGATAGTGCCAGAAAACCAGATAGCATTGTACAAACAAAGTAAGGTTTTTCGTGTTTCGATCGGTAGGTTTTTTAACATTTCATATACGACACGGTCAGAACCTGGGGCAGAAGTACTGCAGGAGTTTAGAGACATTCGCAGCTCAGCTAGACTGAACGCTTGATTATATGCCTCGTATCTAGTGCATTTGTGTTCGAGTTTCTGCTTTTCTATTCTTGTTCTGTATTTTTGGAAAGTGTCAGTATAGTGGGACGAGCTGGATACCCGTTCAAAATGTGCCCCGAGGAAGTTTGCCTGATCTTCCAAGGTATCACCTTGAGTGTTTACGAGTGGAAGTGTGTGTACTTGTTTCCCTGCTATCCTACCGACCATGTTCCAGACTTTGGCCTCTTGTGTGTAAGAATTGATCCCTGACAAAAACTTCTGCCAGCTTTCTCTTCTGGCCTGCCGACGCGTTCTCCTGCCTTGAGACTTTATTTTCTTGAAGGTTTCAAGATTTTCGGCTGTCGGTGAGTTCCGAAGCAGCCTCCAAGCTCTGTTTTGCTGTTTGCGCGCGTTTCGGCATTCAGAGTTCCACCATGGCACACATCGTTTTCCAGGGTGTCCATTTGTTTGTGGGATGCATTTTGTTGCAGCATCAATCAAAAACGCTGTGAAGTATTTCACAGCAACATCAATGTTCAAAGTACAGATGTCATTCCAACCTAGACAAGCGATAGTATGAAACTGTTCCCAGTCGGCTCTGTTTATGAGCCACTTGGGAACACGTGGTGGACACTCAGTTACTGTCGTTGTGCTCAAAACTACGGGGAAGTGGTCACTTCCGCACAGATTACTGACAACTTTCCACTGGAGTAGAGGCACAAGAGATGGAGATACTATGCTCAGGTCTATGGAGGAGTAGGTGTTATTAGCGAGGTTATAATAGGTTGGTTCTTTTCGATTCAGCAGACACGCGCTCGACGAGAGAAGGAACTGTTCGATCAGTCGACCTCGCGCGTCATACCGAGAATCACCCCATAGCCTGCTATGCGCATTGAAGTCTCCAAGGAGAACATAGGGCTCCGGAAGTTCATCAATTAAAGAGTATAAATCACGTTTTTGCAGCTGATAGCTAGGAGGAATGTAAATACTGCAGATTGTGATCAGTTTATTGAAAAGAACCGCTCGAACAGCCACTGCCTCAAGGGATGTTTGGAGTTGTAAGTGTGCGCATGCAATTCCTTGATTTACTATGATGGCAACACCTCCGGATGATGTCATGGCATCATCTCGGTCCTTTCGAAAAATAACGTATTTACGAAGAAAATTTGTGTGTTTTGAATTTAGGTGTGTTTCTTGTACACACAGCACTTTTGGTGAGTGTTCGTGTAGGAGTTCTTGGATGTCGTCAAGGTTTCTGAGGAGGCCCCTGACGTTCCATTGTATAATTTGAGTGTTCATGGTGAATGTAAAATAATGCTGTGTGTACGAAAAGCGAGTGGCTGTTTAGACGGGGAGTTTGAGTTCACTTAACAGGGCCGTCATCAGGCCCTGTTATTTGCTTTTTTGTTTTCTTGGCGCGCTCCAAGGAGCCACGCCGCTGTTTCGGCACCAAGGGTGCCGACGTATCCATTGCCTCCTCGGAGGCACTGGATGCCCGCACGTGCGGGCTGTTAGTTTGGATTTTGGGCCTCGCCTGGTGAGGGGAGGCCTTGAGACCCGAGGACTCTGGAGTCTCCGGTCTCTGTTTGGGAGTAGGCGGTGTAGCCTGGGCTACAGCCGCCTTGGGGGCAGGTGCCACAGCCGACGGCTCGCTCTGCGCGGGCCGAAGGGGTGGCAAGGGCTGGTGCGGCGTTGCCC